GATTGAAAGGTTTTAGTTTCATAATAATTTTTTGAATTAAATGGTAAGTAGAGTTTTTAATTATGTAATTTTAATTTTACTCAAATATTCAGTTAATAAAATTTTAAATTTTTAGGAAATGCTATTTTAATTACGATAAAGATTTTGATTAAGCAGTCAATATAATTTTTAATTAAATTCTTTCGATTAATATAGGATTTTTAATTGGATAATTATATTATTATTGATTTATTTTTCATTTTGGATTGTTTTATTTACAATTTAAATAAATATATTCATAAAGCAAACCTGACTTTTGGTGTCAGGGGCTACTTCTCCATTTTCATGAAAAGTGAAAGTTGAATGTCCAAATCTTAACTAGGACAAAATATGTTGTAATAAAAGGAAAAAGAATATTTATACATTTAAACATTTGCTTTACAAAAAAACTCAGACCAAGACAAATGCTTTTAATGAAAAGTGCTGCGAGTATACATATATATATATATAGAATATGATTGTGTTTTTATTTCAAATTAGAATAATAAATTGTGACTCGTGACATATTATTATTCTAATTCTATTTAAAATATTTTACTGTATCTATTTTTATTATTTTTAATAGAATTTTCATGTCTAACTTAAAGATAAGAAGTAAACGTTTATCATCAATGAATTCAAGGTAGAATATTAATAATTTAAACACAATAAGTTACATGCTAATCTATTGTTTATATAAAAAGGAGAATGAAATTGTCACATTATAATTTTTTCAAAAAAAATATTTTTAATGTTAAATTAAGCTAAACATGATAACTTACGCATGCAGGTGTGTAGTTTTTGTTTTGGTTTACATGAGATGAGTTAGTCAAAGAAACTTAGTAGCTCTTACATAGTTCCTTTAGTGCCATCACAGGAGTATATTTAGGAGGAGAGTACTTTTTGGAGAATACCTATATTACATAAAAGGGTGCATGGATGCCAGTCTCTAGCTCTGCTCTTCTTGTGATTTAGCTTATCTTAAACCAGCTCCAGAACTTAACATACATGACATAGATTAGTTGACACTCTTAAAAAATGGAGGTTCAGTTCTTGTTTAAATTATTTTATTTAACTAATTAGTTAAACATTTAAGAAAAAAGAAATAAGTTAATCAATTATATATACTCTAACAATATATTTATTAGTCTGAAAGCATGAATTACATATCACTCCACATTTTCAGAAGTTTGATCTAATCAGATGCAGACTACAAACGATTGTTTTTATCTTTTTGTGCTAAAATTGATACCACTTCGACCTAAACTTAAGAATACTTTGGTATCGTTGAATTTGAATTTTATTAGGAATGAAAATTTGGACCATAGTTTTCTTGTCCTCTGGAATTATTTCAATTCTTTTCTCTTTTGCAGGTTTTTCTATGCTGTTTATTAGCTGGATTAAGCATATGTTGGTTCAACACCATTTGTTTTGTCCTTTGCATACGAAACTTTCCTGCCAACCGAGCTCTAGCTTTGTCTCTCACAGTAAGCTTCAATGGTGTAAGTGCGGCACTATACACCCTTGCTTACAATGCAATGAATCCATCATCTAATTCCCTTTATCTTCTCTTGAATGCCTTTGTTCCTGTCATTGTTTCTGTTGCTGCTCTCATCCCAATTCTTCGCCAGCCATCCTTGGATCCACTTTTTCCTGATGGAGTTCGCCGTGACTCCGTTTTATTTCTCCTCTTGAATGTCATAGCTGTACTAACCGGAATTTATCTTCTTCTCTTCAGTGCAAAAACCTCTGATGCAACTACAGCTCGTTTTCTTTTTGCTGGAGCAATTTTCCTTCTTGTTTTTCCCTTGTGTGTCCCTGGTTTTGTTTATGCTCGAGCATGGTTTCATCGTACTGTCCATTCTAGTTTTCGGCTTGAAGGCTCTGGCTTTATTCTTGTAGATGTTGATGATCTCGAAATTCATAAAGGGTTGCTATCACGTGAAGCTAGTTACAATAATGGACTGAATAACCTTCCCTTAATGAGTGAAAATGGATCTGCAATAGGCATCAATGAACAGAAAAGTGTAATGGAAATGAATGAAGGGTGTTGCAAGACAATGATCGGGAGGGGTCAATTGGCAATGCTTGGGGAAGAGCATACACTACAATTACTTGTAGGCAGATTAGACTTTTGGTTGTATTATATTGCTTACTTCTGCGGTGGCACAATAGGTCTTGTGTACAGCAACAATCTAGGACAAATTTCACAATCACTTGGACAAGGCTCCAACACAACAGCCCTTATCACCCTTTATTCTTCTTTCTCATTCTTTGGCCGCTTACTTTCAGCAGCACCAGATTACATACGTGCGTAAGTTATTTTCCTATCACAATCTATGAAGAGTTTGTTGGAGTTTGCTCGTAAGCTGCATTCTTTTTTAGCTGTACCTTATTGTCGATTGAATTTATTTGTTTGTATATATCCAGGAAGGCCTACTTTGCAAGAACAGGGTGGCTGACAATTGCACTTCTGCCAACACCAGTTGCTTTCTTCCTGCTAGCAGCCTCAGGCGAAGCAGCAGCATTACAGGCAGCCACGGCATTGATAGGTCTCAGCTCTGGTTTCATATTTGCAGCAGCTGTTTCGATCACATCAGAACTTTTTGGACCAAACAGTGTGGGTGTCAATCACAACATTCTGATCACAAACATTCCTATTGGTTCACTCGTTTATGGCTTCCTTGCTGCATTGGTTTACGACATGAATGCAACGCCTGCAGGGATAGGAGGCAGCATGATAACAGATGCCGCAGTTTGCATGGGGAGGCAGTGCTATTTCGTGACATTTGTGGGGTGGGGATGCTTGTCTATGCTTGGACTTGCCTCCAGTGTGTTGTTATTCCTTAGAACTAGACCTGCTTATCACCGTTTTGAACAAGATCGTATTGCAGTACAACAATACTAATTACTGTTAAGTACCAATTGCTGAGACAAGAGTTTGATCAACATAGCGATAAGAGAGGATAGGTTGAGATTTTGGGGAACTCATTGTGTGTGTATATGATCTTCACTTTTTATTTATAATGTTATGCAATTTACTTAATTTTTTATTTCAATTTAAAAAGTGAAGATAAAATTTATTAATTAAATGACTGCATTAACTGAAAAAAAAAGAGAATTACTGAAAGATTTTGGCTATTACTAGTCTGTTCAAGACTATGCAATAAGGTATAAAGACAAGTTTTAAAAATATAATTTGCATTTTGATGTCAACACCCAATGAAATTTAGTGTGAAATGCTTAACATCAAAGAGTCCATTTGGTTTGAAATGCTTAGATATGAAAAATTTATCTTGTAAAGACTGTGGATTGTCCTATAGATATTTAAAAGTAATGTAAATATAATTTTAAACAAAATGATACTTTGGTAAAAAATTTGTTAGAGAAGGTGATGTTAATATATAATATTATATTGTGTTTACTATTTATGTTATAAATGTAAATGTCTAAAATATAAAGAAAATGAATATATATTAAAATAGCGGAAGCAAATAATAATTAAAGTTTACGTTTCTTACACAATAATTTGGAATACCCAATAAAGTTACGAAAATGTCTCTAAAAAGAGTTAAAATAACAGAAACAAAAATGAAGCTAAAACCCCATGGAGTTAACCTCCACTGACAATTTTGATGGGGTCCGGGAGGTAATCTTTACTTGCAATCCTCCTACTGTTCAGAATCTGAATCTTGATCTTTTTGACCTAAAATAGTTAAATAGGGGGATCAGCTACACTAGTTTAATAAGAATATCACACTAATCATTGATATGAAAAATTGAATGTTGGTAAAAATTATAAAACAATTAATGGAGTCATTTGCTTTCTTAACTAAATTCATTTAACACAAAATTATTTATTCCATATTTACCGTTACAAGTTTTCAAAATCGACCTATAAGGACAATAACTTAAATAACATTATGATTTCATACGCAAGTAAGCAAAAAGATCAAACTTTCTTTTTTACCTACTTACTGATACCTTGGGGGTCCATAGGAATGTCCCCCTATGCGTGAACTTACTATCCAAATTTGTCAATTAACCGGCCGTCCTCATACCCCATCCGGTAATGGGCGTAAAACATTATCGTTTCGATACCTCGTCCGATATGGAGGTGAACCATATCTCTCAAACTCTTTTAGTATGAGACTTCTCAACCCTGTCCGACTGAGGTAATGCCCACAGTAGGGTTCCCTATGTACTGGGTGGTTCGTCCACCCTTTCTCAAGGTATCTAGTGAGCTTTTCATACATAGATTTATACCATTAACCAATTACCAGTTATATGCCAATATTTCATATTTACAGATCAACTGTAAGTCATGCAAATAGACGATACGTACATCAAGAAATATGATTGAGACATTCATTGAAAAAGAAATCAACAGTTGAGGGTTATGCAGTTAGGTAAACTAAGTAATTGAGAAATCAATTTAAACTAGTAATTTAATGCACACAATATAATAGTAAACATTTTAAGCAGTAGAGGAGAAAATAAATAGTAAACTATGGCAAATATGCATTGACTGGTTCTGGCTCCACTAGTGACCTGTAATTATTTTTAAGATTTTCTAATTTTTACAAAATATAATATTATCGATTATTAGCTTTCAATTTACCGTAACAGGGAGAAGGATGAGGGATTCTTACTTTGAATCGGT